GGCATTCAGTGAACATTGACGGTTTAATGTAAAAGTTATCTGGAAAAAGTAAAAAGGTCATTTCATGGTCCCTTTAATGCATCGGATGTTGCAAGACCAGCCGACCTCGCCGCAGACAAAATTGTCTGTGCATGACTGATTATTCCCACTAGATGTGCGCGATTAGTCAGTTGAACTGCGCAAAACAACAGCCCCAAAATACTCGGCCGAGTTTTTACAGCGCATTTTTTAGGCGCCCGTTTCCGGGGTGAGCGGCGTCGCCGTCGGCATAACCGCGTGACGTCACGTGTGACATCACGAGGGCAACGAATGACGTCACGAGGGTCACCAGTGACGTCATGAGGAGAAAGATTAAGGTCACGAGCGTCACGAGTGAAGTCATCCTCGTGATGTCACACGGGCATATCCTCCCCTACTCCCCCTTAAAGGGGCGGTGAACCGATATTCAATTGGAATGTTTTTCACTTTACACGAGCTTACTGGCACTAGTGGGACTCAAGGATACTCACACGGAACGCCACTGGCTAAGAAACTCCTTTGTTGCGGTGTAATTTCAAGGACAAAAGCGATCATTTTCATTCAATCTTTCCTTTGCAAAATTTGATGACGTAATGTGGGGATCGCAGTACACCCCAATGACGACATTTGAATGCGGTTCATAGATTGGACCCGAGCATTGCGTGCGCACTCGATATGGGATCGTGATAATCACTAGCTCGAGAAGCATTCAGGTAGTGGCCCGTGCCCAATCGCTGCAACGACGATAACAGCCGAGCCATAACAATATCTGGAACTCAGCGCGTGTCCTGTGCTTTGCCAACCCCAGCGCGTGGATATGATCAACATTGGCGGCATATAATCGGCTCTAGATCACGTGGTCGCTTGTTCTGGCTGCGAGTTGAGGGGTAGAACGCTGCTCGTTTTTCTTTAATTTTATTCCGGGACTTCTATTGCGTCGGGTGGAAAACGAACACGTGTTTCATAGGTCATTAATGTCAGGGATCCGTTCTAAGTGGTATTTGCGCAAAGTACAAAAATTGTTGCATTGCTCCTTTAAGAGCTGCGCTCTAATTCGGCCTCACAGAGAATTGTAAACGTCTTTAATTTTTTTTTACGCTGTATGGTTTACGCTGTTAAAATGATTTTAATGGTGTGGTCCAGTGCCATCTTTTTCAACATTTTACGGTCGTCGACAGTAAAATTTACGGTCAAATACCAGGCAGCTCATGCTGCCGAAATCGCACTTTAAAAATAACGGCGCGCTGTAAATCTGGATTACCGTGAATTAAAATGGCGACCGCAGATTTCTACGGTCAGCGTTTTAATTTATCGTAAATCAGATTTACTGTGTACCGTTATGTTTACGCTGCCTGGTACTTGACCGTAAATTTTACGGTCCATTTTTTTACAGCGTATGTTTAACCAATTAGGCCATCAAATTATTTTCTTACGTCCAAAACAGTTCAGTGCTTGAGCCAGGGAAACCAGACGAGCTATAGACCATATGCAAAAAGAAGCGGCATTTAGTGTATCATGATGAATTATTAAATTTCCTGCATATTGGAGGGTTCCCGTACGATAGTTTCGCCCGAGAGACAATGAACTTAGTAAAGTGAGAGTCGTAGAACTAAAATATGATCACCTGCTCCAAGTTCAGTACAAAGCCTTCGCAGAACGTCTTCAATAAATGCCGTTCACTGACCTTGAGTGACGAGTCTTGCCACCTCGTTGCTGACAATTCCTTTCCAGAATTTCGCGGCCGTCTTTCTTTTCTTCCTTGAACCGAAACTGAACAGCTTTCCCTTGAGTGCACAAACAAATTATCCGAATATCATACCGAATATTATAGTTAAATGCAGATGCGCCTCTTCCACAACTATACTCCGTTTTACCTTATGTTGTACCGCAGCGAAGGCTAGAAGTGCGAGCTCATAGCGTTGACAGTTTCCCTTAATGCACGAGAGCTTGTGCCGCCGAGATCTGCCCGAGAGTAAGGAGCTCGCGCTTGTAGCCTTTTCTTGCGGTACATCATAAGGTAAAACAGAGTATAAAGATGTAAAAAAAAAAAAAAAAAAAAAAGGCGGCTCTTACTGGCATGATGATGATAGCTGGCAAGAATTTTGCATATGACCTGTATAGACCTTTTCATCCTCCTCCGCATGGGCGCTGCCATCTTGGAATCACGTGACGCGGCAGCCATTAGGTTGCTTCAACTTGCTCCTCCGCTCTCCCCTCCGCACCTTGGCGGATGCGTTGTATCCGTGTTTTTCGTTGCGTTTTACCGCGCTTTCTGGCCTTGCTTCGGAAACTGTAGTCCGATATGTCTACTCGACGACTAAAGTATCACGAGAATTTAAAGGTTCTTATGTTAACTGTGGTTTGTTTAGTAATAGTAACGGAACATTCCCAGTAAGAAGCGCGTATATTTATATCGCACATTTAGGATCGGAAGGCGTCAAGAATAGTCAGCGCATGGAGACTATCGTTATTTCCTGAAAGTATCGTTCATTGTATTCATAATATATCGAAAACAGTTGCTTTTGATTATGTAAGGAAACTCGCGGAGGAGATGGACAACGAATGTTTAACTTGTATTTTATCTGACGCTAGAAGTAATGGTACGTCAACATCAGGCGAATTGTTTGTTCATAATATCACACCTACATGTTGATGAGGTTCTCAATTTTTTTTGCGACATGAATATTCGGTTGGTCGGTTTACTTATGAAGTTTAAGAAATTGTATACCGTGCTCGCTTCCATTTCGACAGTCATTTAAGTGATTTATTGATTATATTTACATAACCCGTGTCATCCACTCAATTTATTTTAACACAAAAGTTAGGACTTCCCGCGTACGAAACGGCCACAGACACTTAACGGTAGCGAGTTTTAGAATAGCGTGCACAAAGAAATAACGCCGTTTCTATTTGCAAATCCAAAACGCGGTTTGGGTTCAGCGCATGCTCAATAACTACAACGCTTTTTTTTTTTTGCGTACGCGGTTTTAGTTTTTGTGCGTATCTAAAATCCGCAATATTTTACGCAAAAAAAAAAAAAAGAGCCGTTTGCAGAACAATTTTTTTAGTGCAGGATTGTCGATGGTGCACAGAGGTTTACTTTTGATGGCTGGCGACGCCTAAGTTTAGAGAGCGAATCTGTTCAAAAATTAATATTTGTTCACACAGGTTCGTAAAGTGGTGCCTAGCGCTAGAATTATGCCAAACTATCCGAGGCATTTCTCTTCCTGAGCCCTTTAATTTTATTTGGCCACTTTAACGGAAGGCAAATGCCAGATTTAATTTGACGGGCCTGTCACTTATATCTTGAGTAAGCAAATGTTCATATAAAAATAATTTATTTTCCAGGGCCAATATCGCGAAATGCTGCTTATGAGTACTTTAGCAGGGCTGACAATTTAAGAAACTTCCTACTCAGCATGTCAAAGCATGCTCGAGTACTGAATTAAAAAAAATAGGCTGAGACGATACCACTCCTTTATACCATTTATCTGCGTCATTACACGAAAGGTTTTATTCTGCGAAGTTCACTGAAGGTTGGGTGCCCACGAAACCGAACAGTGAGTAGTAAACTCGCGAGTTCATCTGTTCTGGCCAATTCAGCACATTGCTGATCAAGCTGTCGATATGCTTATTTACATTCACATGTTAGTCTCTTCGTTATATTGTTTTTCTGGAAACTGGTGTCATCGGGTACGGCTGTATACGGTGGTAATTTCCCCTGTACACCAGTCAGGCGTTTCGCGACCGACCATAATCAGCTACATCAAAGGAGTGGGTAAACAAAAAGCCCACAATTTAGGCTGAGATACATATCGTAGCCCTCAAGGTGACTCAATACCATTGTTTCATTTGTTGTGTGCTACAAGGAAACTAATCGAATCACAAAATTAATCAAAAACAACGTAAAACAGCAACACAGCCGCGTTCACGTTGAAACCGAAACCAACCAAAGTGAAGCAACCTGATGGCGCCAAGTGTGTCAGCGCCCTCTATCCACCGGTGAGGCAACTAATAAAATGAAAAGGTCTATAGACCCTTTACGAAAGTCAGTCTACCCACCTTGTGCAGAGCCAGACCCGACGCTCTAATGGCGGAACTACACTGTTTCTCCACACCAGAAAAATCGAACGTCTTCGAAAGCATAGAGCAGAAAAAGGAAAAGATGTTGGTCCTTTCACGTCACCTTCGATGCACGGAATCGAGGGTGTTTGATTTAGCCGCGCATGATCTCCTATCACCGCCATTAGAGCGGCAATAATGGAGCTTTTTATACTGCCACAAGAGGACTCTGACTTTTGAAAAGGGTCTATTGGTCCTGAACAAATGGGGGAGGTTCTAATACCCTTGTTACACGGGGGCACTGACCGCAGTTATGCTAAGACACAGGCACAATACTTGCGGACAACATTCTGCGGCTATGTAGTCAAAGCTATGGGCGAACGTGCGCTCGAGCATCTTGAGCACCCATCGAAGCAGTGCACGCGCGCTCTTCACTTCTTCTGGAATAGCTGTCCGAGAGTATAGTGCGGTAACTGTGGTGCCACGAAACAGCAGTTAAAGCTGATTTAACCGCGGTTAAGGGCGCCCGTATAACCGGGGTATAAGTTGACGAGCTAGGTTTGCTCAAAACGGTTAAGGGGTTAAATCACGTCTGAATATGAATCTGAATAAGACATCCGGCCTCTATCCCTTTCTGTTCGATAAAATACATTTTGAAAGAACGAATCATGACTTTGCGTCGAGGTTGAGGACCCCGAGGCTGTTCAGAGGCTTTGAATTTGGCTATTTTAGGCAGTGTTGAGTAGGGGCGCTTTAACGGTTCTCACTTTGACTGCTGAAAGCTATCTTTGAGGGGTAACGCAATCATTATCAGCAGCCGAAGACTGCTGATAATGATTGCGTGCGCGTGTGCGCGTGCCCGTGCGTTCCACTCCGCCATTCGTCCGGGCATTCAGTGACCGATATAACCGACCTGCCAGATGCTGCAGGCCGAGGAGAACCTGGCTGCCCGCATGCACGACAACTTGCAGCACATCGAGGTGGGGCACTCCCAGAACCAAGAAAGGATCAAGGAGCAGGAGTGGGAGGTGGCGCTGCTCAAGCAGGAGAGGGACGACCTCTCTGTCTTGTTGGCGACTGGCAACAACGCCAACAAGAAGTCCCAGCAGACTCGTATCTTGGAGCAACGGCGCAAGCGCATCAAGGAGCTGGATGAACGCGTTGCGAAGCTGCGAAAGAAAGTCCTGCAGGAGCAGGCCACGATGATCGGGCCGAAGGAAGAAGAACGAGATGTTAGGAAACTCAAGGAAGAAATCCTGGAGATGAAGAAGACGCGCGTGCGGCTAATGCGCCAGCTCAAGAAAGAGTCGGAGCAGCACCGCCGGGCCCAAAGGGAGCACGACCGCGAGGTGAGCACCCTGCGGCTGCGTGAGCATCAGCGGGTGGCACAGGCGGCGCGGCAAGAGCGCCAGAGTGGCCTCAAGATCAGTGCGCTGCAACGGAGCATGGAGGACGCGCTGGTGGACAAGTCGCGACTGGAGGCGGCACTGCAGAGGCAGCAGATCGACGCCGGCAAGACGGACCCCCTGGGGGAAATGGCCCCTCGAATCCAGGGCACAGTTGAGCAGGAGCTCTCTTTTTCAGTGCGCAAACGATCGGAGCAGTTGCGGACTGAACCGCCAGGCGCGCAACGCCAACACCACACCACTCCTGAAGGTGCAGTCGAAGCTCCTGGAGGCTGAGGCCAAGCTCCGGGAGGTTCAAGAACACAAGGAACGGGAGATCAAGGGACTAGAGTTGCAGCTGCTGGTCACCAAAAAGGAGCACCGAGATCGAATGCTGTGCCTGCTGAAGCACTTCACGAGTACGTCCTGGGTAAGACCCCCACCCTGGAGGCCTCCCTCGTTGAGAGGCTCAAGTTGCAGGAAAAAGAGATCTCTCGGCTAAAAGCCGTCCATAAAGACCTTGAAAAAAAAAAACAAAAAAAACAAGGAAGCTGAGCAACTTAAGAATGAGCTTAAGCATGCCAGAAGACCTGTGCTGGGGGTGGACTACTCCGTCAAGACAGATAATCCTGCCAAGCCCAAGAATGTCGTGCCAGTAGCCACGAGCGACCTCCTCTTTGGCGACAGTCTCGATGTCTCGGCAACGGCGAGGACGACCGAGACTGTTCCGGGAGTCAGACACTCCATCAGACGAGCCACTCGTCCGTTTTTTTATCGTTCCCCATCTCAGGGTTTACAAGATGTCTACTAGAGGAACTCTCATTAAAGAGATGAGTCGAAACTTATAAAATACCTTTCTTGTTCAGATACAAGTTAAAAATAATGAACTATATCTGCTAATGACAATCGCACGCCCGTTTTCAAACGGATGGTCTAACCCCAGTCGAACGCCGAAAGTTCGACCTAAAAATCCAATTCGACCAAAGTTTGCGAAGTGGCCATTAGGATTTTCGAAGTTTTTTCGAACCAAATATATAGGTCGAACACGCCCCCCCCCCCCCCCTTTTTCATACAGCAACATGTCCCATACTAAAGAAGTATGGAACATGTTCTGTAGTCCGGTAATACAGTACATGTTGTGCAACAAGGTTAGCATGTATGTGTCCCATACTTTGAAAGGAGTTTTTCTAACAGTGTACACTTTGTTATTAGAGAGTTTTAGAGAACGATTTTTGCACATATAATAAAGTACAATGGGCTTTCGGTAGTGCATGCGTAGTGGGCCCAACGTACCGCATCGGATGTGCAAAAACGGTTCCCTAAAACTCTATATTAGTATACCATTTTTATTCCGACACGACGGTGCGGAGACTACGGCGGGGCATCGGGGCTCGTGCCCCCCCACCCCATGCCCCTGGAGAGATGCGGGGGGGAGGGGGGGGCAGAACCCCCCCCCCCCCCCCCCCCTTCACGCACGGGCCATGATCCTTACCTATAGACGCTGTTTACGTGCCATGTAACGAGCTTCTAGTAGTGGCCTGTAAACAAAATAACGCCCACGTTGCCTTTATTGACAAAATACATAGGAAATGGAATCCCAACGTGCTTTCGTTAGCTTCAGTCTCCAGTTCTGGCATAGTGAGATGGTGTAGTATAAAAATGAAGTCGGATTATTTTATTTCGTGTTCTTTGTCCTTTGCTTACTCAAATATATTTGGTAGTGTGCGAATACACGCTACCGAACGAGATATTTAATTTGTAGTACTTTTCATTTGAAATTTAGATATAATCATCTCTTCATAGCATTGTCTCCGTTATAGACGCTTTGCAGCAGCTGTGCATGGACGCCGCCATAACTGACCTTCAGTTTTTGTTTCCTCTTATTTCGTTCATTTCACTTCATCATTACCATAGCAGGCCAGGTTATTGCCATATTGGACTCAACTGTGTCCTTTTCTAAAGCATCGGCTTCTGTGTTGGATCGTCAACTACCGTTTCAGTTGCTCGGCATTTCGGTAAGACAAGAGAAGGTCAGCAATGGCGGCTGTAATTTGGCGCGTGTGTAAAGCCTCTATAACTTGGGATGCGCTATATTATTGAAGAAATGACTGTACCTGCCTCACGACGCCACCGGCGACTAGTCTTTGTTCAAAAAGACTTAAAATGTTTATTCAAAAGAACAAGGCTTTTATTTCCACTGCTAGTTTTTTTACAAAACAAAAAGATCAATCGGTTCCAAGGGCTGCAGCTTTAGATCCAACAGAGAGATCTTTTCTGAACTTCAACATTTTCAATGACCCGAAGATGTGGAGGTCCTGTTAAAAGAGGTTCGAGTGAGTATTGTTGTTGCATAATAATAGCAGTGTGTCCATTTTAAGATGGGCAAGTTTCTCAACAAAAAGACATAACTAATTTCAGGGCAATTTATTAGTGCAGAACAAACAAAAAAGAAAAGGGCAGTGATCTATTTTACTGTTCTAAATGCGGTTTCATATATAGCAACCGCCGATAATATTGTAAAATATTTTAATGTATAATGCGTTTTTTTAAAGGCTATAGTTGAGAACCTGCAGATATTCCCTTTCGTTTTTTATTTGTAATTTACAACTCACCAAAACATGTAATTTGGTGAATGGTTGTTCGATCCTTAACGGGGCGGTGCAACGATATTCAATTGATATGTTTTTCACTTTACACGAGCTTACTGGCACTAGTGGGACTCAAGGATACTCGGACGCAACGCCACTGACCAAGAAACTCCTTTGTTGCGCTGTAATTTCGAGGACAAAACCCAGTGTTTTCATTCAATCTCTCCTTCGCAAAACCTGATGACGTAGCTGGGCGGTAGCAGTACCGCCCAGTGACGATATTTGAATGCGGCTCATAAATTGTACCCGAGCATGGCGTGGACACTCGATTTGGGCTCGTGATAATCGATAGCTCGAGAAGCATTCGGGTAGTGTCCTGTGTCCAATCGCTGCAATGACGACAACAGCCGAACCATAACAATGTCTGGAACTCAGCGCGTGTCCAGTGCCTTGCCAACCCCAGCGCATGGCTATGATCAAAATTGGCGGCATACAATCGGCTCCGGATCACGTGGCCGCTTGTTCTGGCTGCGAGTTGAGGGGGTGAACTCTGCTCGTTTTTTTTTTATTTTTTTACTGCGACTTCAATTGCGTGTGGAGAAAAATGAACGGGTATTTCACAGGTCATTAACATCAGGGGTCCGTTCTAAGCGATATTTGCACAAAATACAAAAATCGTTGCATCGCCCCTTAAACCTGGCGTAAGATTAGTAAAAAAAGTGTCTATGTGAATTTAGAAGTTTATATGGGGGAGTTTCATTAACCTACAAGATTGAGTGCCAGGCTACTTAGGCACATTCTGAAGACCAGTGCTTCAAAAGCTTTAGTTACTGGCGAATTTAGGTATTTATTATAGACTAATTATTTTTTTCCTGTCCTAATATGAGCCGTGGTAGTAAAACACTACTTTGTATATGTGTTCTTACAGATGTCGTTGGGATCAACCTTGATCAAGGAATCCGAATAAAAAGACAGAAGAAAACATACGTAAACAAAAAGGTTATTCAGCTAATTGCCGAAATGTGGAATTTAAATGGAAATGCAAATAAATATAAGATATTTTTACTTTCATTTGACAGCATGGGTCACAGATATTAAAGGGACCATGAAATGATTTTAAAATCCAGTTTCATCCACCGCACGTCGTAAAAGGTGTGAAAAGAAACACAAAAATACAAAAATAGGGAGCCAAAAAAATTATTTGCTATAGAACTTTTAAAAGAAAACTGGACTCTTTTGCGCCTTCCTTCTTTCGCCTGTTCACTACGATGCATCCGCGGAAATGGAGCACGTCAGCCAAATCCAGGTCGCCTATTGGGTAAGAGCCTACCTCACCAGCACCGCGATCGTAAACAATAAATAGCCGGCGAATGTTTCCTAAAAGTTTTGTTAAATAATATTCAGTTCCACATTTTGTAGCATAATTAGAGATGTGTGGCGAAAATTGCCAAATTTGATAATGCTGAGAGCCAGGCGCCATCTATCGTGTGGTAAACGAAGCAACTACTGCGCGTGCGCAGTAGGGCAGGGCCGACAGTTACTCGGGTGGCAGCCAGCGACGAACGTTTATTTTCTTTATTTTCCTTCCTCTCAAAACTCTGACTGACTGAACGTTTATTTTTCTACGTGTTCTTCTCGCGCGGGCCGACTTCAAGCAGCAAGAAAACAGTACTTAAAACAGACCACGACGAACAAGAAAGCTGGATCCTCCGACTCCGACGAAGCGTATAGGCCTAGCAGGCATTCCGACTCGGCGCTGCGTTGCTTCGTCGCAAGACCGTCTGCCTACGATCGGCTGGCGTGCTAAATGGAATATGCCCGCGCGACCCTTGTGGACCCTTCCCGTATTTTAGTTTGATCACTGACCTCAATTCTAGATTAAGAGGTGAGGTCAATCTCTTCCCCTTGTTTTCTGAGGCAGTGTTGACGAACACTCGTCGAAAAGGGACTCTCGTCGATTCTATCTTCTTGTTTTGTGTGATATAGAGCTGAAATAAACGCAGTATGGATTACCTTCGTAACACGGTATGTACACTTTGTTATTGGTATGCCATTTTTATTCTGACAGACTGCACGTCACTGTCGAGCTATAACAGTTCGTGGGAGGTATACGTACAACCCCGGTCCAACCTTCTTTGCCGAGTGTCGCGTCAGTATCGAGTTGCAATCGTAAAAGAACGGTCCCGAAGCGCTTACAAACAGCGCGAATACAAGACTTCCATCAAGCGCGCGCGTCCGCTCCGAGTGTAAACAGGTATTTACGTGGCTCTTGCTGACACTCGTAGTTCAAATGTATCTTTTTTAACGTCGGCTCGCTCCTGCATCTCCGAGGCCGCGAAAAACGCCATCTACGTCGCTTTGCAAACGACTGACACGGGCCGGCCCTTCTGCCAACAATGACGGGGTGGTTGACTTCTGGAGTCTTCACCGGAAGACTCGCTGCACTTTCCAACAGGCATACCGGCGTATGGGACTAGTCCCATGCTGTCGCTGTAGCGCAACATATCTCATTGAATTTCGCTCAGCTGCGATGCGGCGATGAGAGGCGCCGATTCAGGAAATACGTCGGTGACATCAGCGCAGTAAAACCTACCGGCGCACCCCAACTCGTTGCCGCTAACACTCCCATTCTCCTACTGCCGAGAGAACTTCCGGTTCCGGAAACGGCCTACGTCACGGCTTCTTTTGCGGTCAGTTGGAGAGAATGAAAAAGTCGATAGTTCAATAATGTTTTGTGTAGAAGTTAATAAACCGAGACGAAAACGGATGCCTGTTCGGCATTCAGTGAACATTGACGGTTTAATGTAAAAGTTATCTGGAAAAAGTAAAAAGGTCATTTCATGGTCCCTTTAATGCATCGGATGTTGCAAGACCAGCCGACCTCGCCGCAGACAAAATTGTCTGTGCATGACTGATTATTCCCACTAGATGTGCGCGATTAGTCAGTTGAACTGCGCAAAACAACAGCCCCAAAATACTCGGCCGAGTTTTTACAGCGCATTTTTTAGGCGCCCGTTTCCGGGGTGAGCGGCGTCGCCGTCGGCATAACCGCGTGACGTCACGTGTGACATCACGAGGGCAACGAATGACGTCACGAGGGTCACCAGTGACGTCATGAGGAGAAAGATTAAGGTCACGAGCGTCACGAGTGAAGTCATCCTCGTGATGTCACACGGGCATATCCTCCCCTACTCCCCCTTAAAGGGGCGGTGAACCGATATTCAATTGGAATGTTTTTCACTTTACACGAGCTTACTGGCACTAGTGGGACTCAAGGATACTCACACGGAACGCCACTGGCTAAGAAACTCCTTTGTTGCGGTGTAATTTCAAGGACAAAAGCGATCATTTTCATTCAATCTTTCCTTTGCAAAATTTGATGACGTAATGTGGGGATCGCAGTACACCCCAATGACGACATTTGAATGCGGTTCATAGATTGGACCCGAGCATTGCGTGCGCACTCGATATGGGATCGTGATAATCACTAGCTCGAGAAGCATTCAGGTAGTGGCCCGTGCCCAATCGCTGCAACGACGATAACAGCCGAGCCATAACAATATCTGGAACTCAGCGCGTGTCCTGTGCTTTGCCAACCCCAGCGCGTGGATATGATCAACATTGGCGGCATATAATCGGCTCTAGATCACGTGGTCGCTTGTTCTGGCTGCGAGTTGAGGGGTAGAACGCTGCTCGTTTTTCTTTAATTTTATTCCGGGACTTCTATTGCGTCGGGTGGAAAACGAACACGTGTTTCATAGGTCATTAATGTCAGGGATCCGTTCTAAGTGGTATTTGCGCAAAGTACAAAAATTGTTGCATTGCTCCTTTAAGAGCTGCGCTCTAATTCGGCCTCACAGAGAATTGTAAACGTCTTTAATTTTTTTTTACGCTGTATGGTTTACGCTGTTAAAATGATTTTAATGGTGTGGTCCAGTGCCATCTTTTTCAACATTTTACGGTCGTCGACAGTAAAATTTACGGTCAAATACCAGGCAGCTCTTGCTGCCGAAATCGCACTTTAAAAATAACGGCGCGCTGTAAATCTGGATTACCGTGAATTAAAATGGCGACCGCAGATTTCTACGGTCAGCGTTTTAATTTATCGTAAATCAGATTTACTGTGTACCGTTATGTTTACGCTGCCTGGTACTTGACCGTAAATTTTACGGTCCATTTTTTTACAGCGTATGTTTAACCAATTAGGCCATCAAATTATTTTCTTACGTCCAAAACAGTTCAGTGCTTGAGCCAGGGAAACCAGACGAGCTATAGACCATATGCAAAAAGAAGCGGCATTTAGTGTATCATGATGAATTATTAAATTTCCTGCATATTGGAGGGTTCCCGTACGATAGTTTCGCCCGAGAGACAATGAACTTAGTAAAGTGAGAGTCGTAGAACTAAAATATGATCACCTGCTCCAAGTTCAGTACAAAGCCTTCGCAGAACGTCTTCAATAAATGCCGTTCACTGACCTTGAGTGACGAGTCTTGCCACCTCGTTGCTGACAATTCCTTTCCAGAATTTCGCGGCCGTCTTTCTTTTCTTCCTTGAACTGAAACTGAACAGCTTTCCCTTGAGTGCACAAACAAATTATCCGAATATCATACCGAATATTATAGTTAAATGCAGATGCGCCTCTTCCACAACTATACTCCGTTTTACCTTATGTTGTACCGCAGCGAAGGCTAGAAGTGCGAGCTCATAGCGTTGACAGTTTCCCTTAATGCACGAGAGCTTGTGCCGCCGAGATCTGCCCGAGAGTAAGGAGCTCGCGCTTGTAGCCTTTTCTTGCGGTACATCATAAGGTAAAACAGAGTATAAAGATGTAAAAAAAAAAAAAAAAAAAAAAGGCGGCTCTTACTGGCATGATGATGATAGCTGGCAAGAATTTTGCATATGACCTGTATAGACCTTTTCATCCTCCTCCGCATGGGCGCTGCCATCTTGGAATCACGTGACGCGGCAGCCATTAGGTTGCTTCAACTTGCTCCTCCGCTCTCCCCTCCGCACCTTGGCGGATGCGTTGTATCCGTGTTTTTCGTTGCGTTTTACCGCGCTTTCTGGCCTTGCTTCGGAAACTGTAGTCCGATATGTCTACTCGACGACTAAAGTATCACGAGAATTTAAAGGTTCTTATGTTAACTGTGGTTTGTTTAGTAATAGTAACGGAACATTCCCAGTAAGAAGCGCGTATATTTATATCGCACATTTAGGATCGGAAGGCGTCAAGAATAGTCAGCGCATGGAGACTATCGTTATTTCCTGAAAGTATCGTTCATTGTATTCATAATATATCGAAAACAGTTGCTTTTGATTATGTAAGGAAACTCGCGGAGGAGATGGACAACGAATGTTTAACTTGTATTTTATCTGACGCTAGAAGTAATGGTACGTCAACATCAGGCGAATTGTTTGTTCATAATATCACACCTACATGTTGATGAGGTTCTCAATTTTTTTTGCGACATGAATATTCGGTTGGTCGGTTTACTTATGAAGTTTAAGAAATTGTATACCGTGCTCGCTTCCATTTCGACAGTCATTTAAGTGATTTATTGATTATATTTACATAACCCGTGTCATCCACTCAATTTATTTTAACACAAAAGTTAGGACTTCCCGCGTACGAAACGGCCACAGACACTTAACGGTAGCGAGTTTTAGAATAGCGTGCACAAAGAAATAACGCCGTTTCTATTTGCAAATCCAAAACGCGGTTTGGGTTCAGCGCATGCTCAATAACTACAACGCTTTTTTTTTTTTGCGTACGCGGTTTTAGTTTTTGTGCGTATCTAAAATCCGCAATATTTTACGCAAAAAAAAAAAAAAGAGCCGTTTGCAGAACAATTTTTTTAGTGCAGGATTGTCGATGGTGCACAGAGGTTTACTTTTGATGGCTGGCGACGCCTAAGTTTAGAGAGCGAATCTGTTCAAAAATTAATATTTGTTCACACAGGTTCGTAAAGTGGTGCCTAGCGCTAGAATTATGCCAAACTATCCGAGGCATTTCTCTTCCTGAGCCCTTTAATTTTATTTGGCCACTTTAACGGAAGGCAAATGCCAGATTTAATTTGACGGGCCTGTCACTTATATCTTGAGTAAGCAAATGTTCATATAAAAATAATTTATTTTCCAGGGCCAATATCGCGAAATGCTGCTTATGAGTACTTTAGCAGGGCTGACAATTTAAGAAACTTCCTACTCAGCATGTCAAAGCATGCTCGAGTACTGAATTAAAAAAAATAGGCTGAGACGATACCACTCCTTTATACCATTTATCTGCGTCATTACACGAAAGGTTTTATTCTGCGAAGTTCACTGAAGGTTGGGTGCCCACGAAACCGAACAGTGAGTAGTAAACTCGCGAGTTCATCTGTTCTGGCCAATTCAGCACATTGCTGATCAAGCTGTCGATATGCTTATTTACATTCACATGTTAGTCTCTTCGTTATATTGTTTTTCTGGAAACTGGTGTCATCGGGTACGGCTGTATACGGTGGTAATTTCCCCTGTACACCAGTCAGGCGTTTCGCGACCGACCATAATCAGCTACATCAAAGGAGTGGGTAAACAAAAAGCCCACAATTTAGGCTGAGATACATATCGTAGCCCTCAAGGTGACTCAATACCATTGTTTCATTTGTTGTGTGCTACAAGGAAACTAATCGAATCACAAAATTAATCAAAAACAACGTAAAACAGCAACACAGCCGCGTTCACGTTGAAACCGAAACCAACCAAAGTGAAGCAACCTGATGGCGCCAAGTGTGTCAGCGCCCTCTATCCACCGGTGAGGCAACTAATAAAATGAAAAGGTCTATAGACCCTTTACGAAAGTCAGTCTACCCACCTTGTGCAGAGCCAGACCCGACGCTCTAATGGCGGAACTACACTGTTTCTCCACACCAGAAAAATCGAACGTCTTCGAAAGCATAGAGCAGAAAAAGGAAAAGATGTTGGTCCTTTCACGTCACCTTCGATGCACGGAATCGAGGGTGTTTGATTTAGCCGCGCATGATCTCCTATCACCGCCATTAGAGCGGCAATAATGGAGCTTTTTATACTGCCACAAGAGGACTCTGACTTTTGAAAAGGGTCTATTGGTCCTGAACAAATGGGGGAGGTTCTAATACCCTTGTTACACGGGGGCACTGACCGCAGTTATGCTAAGACACAGGCACAATACTTGCGGACAACATTCTGCGGCTATGTAGTCAAAGCTATGGGCGAACGTGCGCTCGAGCATCTTGAGCACCCATCGAAGCAGTGCACGCGCGCTCTTCACTTCTTCTGGAATAGCTGTCCGAGAGTATAGTGCGGTAACTGTGGTGCCACGAAACAGCAGTTAAAGCTGATTTAACCGCGGTTAAGGGCGCCCGTATAACCGGGGTATAAGTTGACGAGCTAGGTTTGCTCAAAACGGTTAAGGGGTTAAATCACGTCTGAATATGAATCTGAATAAGACATCCGGCCTCTATCCCTTTCTGTTCGATAAAATACATTTTGAAAGAACGAATCATGACTTTGCGTCGAGGTTGAGGACCCCGAGGCTGTTCAGAGGCTTTGAATTTGGCTATTTTAGGCAGTGTTGAGTAGGGGCGCTTTAACGGTTCTCACTTTGACTGCTGAAAGCTATCTTTGAGGGGTAACGCAATCATTATCAGCAGCCGAAGACTGCTGATAATGATTGCGTGCGCGTGTGCGCGTGCCCGTGCGTTCCACTCCGCCATTCGTCCGGGCATTCAGTGACCGATATAACCGACCTGCCAGATGCTGCAGGCCGAGGAGAACCTGGCTGCCCGCATGCACGACAACTTGCAGCACATCGAGGTGGGGCACTCCCAGAACCAAGAAAGGATCAAGGAGCAGGAGTGGGAGGTGGCGCTGCTCAAGCAGGAGAGGGACGACCTCTCTGTCTTGTTGGCGACTGGCAACAACGCCAACAAGAAGTCCCAGCAGACTCGTATCTTGGAGCAACGGCGCAAGCGCATCAAGGAGCTGGATGAACGCGTTGCGAAGCTGCGAAAGAAAGTCCTGCAGGAGCAGGCCACGATGATCGGGCCGAAGGAAGAAGAACGAGATGTTAGGAAACTCAAGGAAGAAATCCTGGAGATGAAGAAGACGCGCGTGCGGCTAATGCGCCAGCTCAAGAAAGAGTCGGAGCAGCACCGCCGGGCCCAAAGGGAGCACGACCGCGAGGTGAGCACCCTGCGGCTGCGTGAGCATCAGCGGGTGGCACAGGCGGCGCGGCAAGAGCGCCAGAGTGGCCTCAAGATCAGTGCGCTGCAACGGAGCATGGAGGACGCGCTGGTGGACAAGTCGCGACTGGAGGCGGCACTGCAGAGGCAGCAGATCGACGCCGGCAAGACGGACCCCCTGGGGGAAATGGCCCCTCGAATCCAGGGCACAGTTGAGCAGGAGCTCTCTTTTTCAGTGCGCAAACGATCGGAGCAGTTGCGGACTGAACCGCCAGGCGCGCAACGCCAACACCACACCACTCCTGAAGGTGCAGTCGAAGCTCCTGGAGGCTGAGGCCAAGCTCCGGGAGGTTCAAGAACACAAGGAACGGGAGATCAAGGGACTAGAGTTGCAGCTGCTGGTCACCAAAAAGGAGCACCGAGATCGAATGCTGTGCCTGCTGAAGCACTTCACGAGTACGTCCTGGGTAAGACCCCCACCCTGGAGGCCTCCCTCGTTGAGAGGCTCAAGTTGCAGGAAAAAGAGATCTCTCGGCTAAAAGCCGTCCATAAAGACCTTGAAAAAAAAAAACAAAAAAAACAAGGAAGCTGAGCAACTTAAGAATGAGCTTAAGCATGCCAGAAGACCTGTGCTGGGGGTGGACTACTCCGTCAAGACAGATAATCCTGCCAAGCCCAAGAATGTCGTGCCAGTAGCCACGAGCGACCTCCTCTTTGGCGACAGTCTCGATGTCTCGGCAACGGCGAGGACGACCGAGACTGTTCCGGGAGTCAGACACTCCATCAGACGAGCCACTCGTCCGTTTTTTTATCGTTCCCCATCTCAGGGTTTACAAGATGTCTACTAGAGGAACTCTCATTAAAGAGATGAGTCGAAACTTATAAAATACCTTTCTTGTTCAGATACAAGTTAAAAATAATGAACTATATCTGCTAATGACAATCGCACGCCCGTTTTCAAACGGATGGTCTAACCCCAGTCGAACGCCGAAAGTTCGACCTAAAAATCCAATTCGACCAAAGTTTGCGAAGTGGCCATTAGGATTTTCGAAGTTTTTTCGAACCAAATATATAGGTCGAACACGCCCCCCCCCCCCCCCCTTTTTCATACAGCAACATGTCCCATACTAAAGAAGTATGGAACATGTTCTGTAGTCCGGTAATACAGTACATGTTGTGCAACAAGGTTAGCATGTATGTGTCCCATACTTTGAAAGGAGTTTTTCTAACAGTGTACACTTTGTTATTAGAGAGTTTTAGAGAACGATTTTTGCACATATAATAAAGTACAATGGGCTTTCGGTAGTGCATGCGTAGTGGGCCCAACGTACCGCATCGGATGTGCAAAAACGGTTCCCTAAAACTCTATATTAGTATACCATTTTTATTCCGACACGACGGTGCGGAGACTACGGCGGGGCATCGGGGCTCGTGCCCCCCCCCCCCCCCCCCCCCCACCCCATGCCCCTGGAGAGATGCGGGGGGGAGGGGGGGGGCAGAACCCCCCCCCCCCCCCCCCCCCCCCTTCACGCACGGGCCATGATCCTTACCTATAGACGCTGTTTACGTGCCATGTAACGAGCTTCTAGTAGTGGCCTGTAAACAAAATAACGCCCACGTTGCCTTTATTGACAAAATACATAGGAAATGGAATCCCAACGTGCTTTCGTTAGCTTCAGTCTCCAGTTCTGGCATAGTGAGATGGTGTAGTATAAAAATGAAGTCGGATTATTTTATTTCGTGTTCTTTGTCCTTTGCTTACTCAAATATATTTGGTAGTGTGCGAATACACGCTACCGAACGAGATATTTAATTTGTAGTACTTTTCATTTGAAATTTAGATATAATCATCTCTTCATAGCATTGTCTCCGTTATAGACGCTTTGCAGCAGCTGTGCATGGACGCCGCCATAACTGACCTTCAGTTTTTGTTTCCTCTTATTTCGTTCATTTCACTTCATCATTACCATAGCAGGCCAGGTTATTGCCATATTGGACTCAACTGTGTCCTTTTCTAAAGCATCGGCTTCTGTGTTGGATCGTCAACTACCGTTTCAGTTGCTCGGCATTTCGGTAAGACAAGAGAAGGTCAGCAATGGCGGCTGTAATTTGGCGCGTGTGTAAAGCCTCTATAACTTGGGATGCGCTATATTATTGAAGAAATGACTGTACCTGCCTCACGACGCCACCGGCGACTAGTCTTTGTTCAAAAAGACTTAAAATGTTTATTCAAAAGAACAAGGCTTTTATTTCCACTGCTAGTTTTTTTACAAAACAAAAAGATCAATCGGTTCCAAGGGCTGCAGCTTTAGATCCAACAGAGAGATCTTTTCTGAACTTCAACATTTTCAATGACCCGAAGATGTGGAGGTCCTGTTAAAAGAGGTTCGAGTGAGTATTTTTGTTGCATAATAATAGCAGTGTGTCCATTTTAAGATGGGCAAGTTTCTCAACAAAAAGACATAACTAATTTCAGGGCAATTTATTAGTGCAGAACAAACAAAAAAGAAAAGGGCAGTGATCTATTTTACTGTTCTAAATGCGGTTTCATATATAGCAACCGCCGATAATATTGTAAAATATTTTAATGTATAATGCGTTTTTTTAAAGGCTATAGTTGAGAACCTGCAGATATTCCCTTTCGTTTTTTATTTGTAATTTACAACTCACCAAAACATGTAATTTGGTGAATGGTTGTTCGATCCTTAACGGGGCGGTGCAACGATATTCAATTGACATGTTTTTCACTTTACACGAGCTTACTGGCACTAGTGGGACTCAAGGATACTCGGACGCAACGCCACTGACCAAGAAACTCCTTTGTTGCGCTGTAATTTCGAGGACAAAACCCAGTGTTTTCATTCAATCTCTCCTTCGCAAAACCTGATGACGTAGCTGGGCGGTAGCAGTACCGCCCAGTGACGATATTTGAATGCGGCTCATAAATTGTACCCGAGCATGGCGTGGACACTCGATTTGGGCTCGTGATAATCGATAGCTCGAGAAGCATTCGGGTAGTGTCCTGTGTCCAATCGCTGCAATGACGACAACAGCCGAACCATAACAATGTCTGGAACTCAGCGCGTGTCCAGTGCCTTGCCAACCCCAGCGCATGGCTATGATCAAAATTGGCGGCATACAATCGGCTCCGGATCACGTGGCCGCTTGTTCTGGCTGCGAGTTGAGGGGGTGAACTCTGCTCGTTTTTTTTTTATTTTTTTACTGCGACTTCAATTGCGTGTGGAGAAAAATGAACGGGTATTTCACAGGTCATTAACATCAGGGGTCCGTTCTAAGCGATATTTGCACAAAATACAAAAATCGTTGCATCGCCCCTTAAACCTGGCGTAAGATTAGTAAAAAAAGTGTCTATGTGAATTTAGAAGTTTATATGGGGGAGTTTCATTAACCTACAAGATTGAGTGCCAGGCTACTTAGGCACATTCTGAAGACCAGTGCTTCAAAAGCTTTAGTTACTGGCGAATTTAGGTATTTATTATAGACTAATTATTTTTTTCCTGTCCTAATATGAGCTGTGGTAGTAAAACACTGCTTTGTATATGTGTTCTTACAGATGTCGTTGGGATCAACCTTGATCAAGGAATCCGAATAAAAAGACAGAAGAAACCATACGTAAACAAAAAGGTTATTCAGCTAATTGCCGAAATGTGGAATTTAAATGGAAATGCAAATAAATATAAGATATTTTTACTTTCATTTGACAGCATGGGTCACAGATATTAAAGGGACCATGAAATGATTTTAAAATCCAGTTTCATCCACCGCACGTCGTAAATGTGTGAAAAGAAACACAAAAACACAAAAATAGGGAGCCAAAAAAAATTATTTGCTATAGAACTTTTAAAAGAAAACTGGACTCTTTTGCGCCTTCCTTCTTTCGCCTGTTCACTACGATGCATCCGCGGAAATGGAGCACGTCAGCCAAATCCAGGTCGCCTATTGGGTAAGAGCCTACCTCACCAGCACCGCGATCGTAAACAATAAATAGCCGGCGAATGTTTCCTAAAAGTTTTGTTAAATAATATTCAGTTCCACATTTTGTAGCATAATTAGAGATGTGTGGCGAAAATTGCCAAATTTGATAATGCTGAGAGCCAGGCGCCATCTATCGTGTGGTAAACGAAGCAACTACTGCGCGTGCGCAGTAGGGCAGGGCCGACAGTTACTCGGGTGGCAGCCAGCGACGAACGTTTATTTTCTTTATTTTCCTTCCTCTCAAAACTCTGACTGACTGAACGTTTATTTTTCTACGTGTTCTTCCCGCGAGGGCCGACTTCAAGCAGCAAGAAAACAGTACTTAAAACAGACCACGACGAACAAGAAAGCTGGATCCTCCGACTCCGACGAAGCGTATAGGCCTAGCAGGCATTCCGACTCGGCGCTGCGTTGCTTCGTCGCAAGACCGTCTGCCTACGATCGGCTGGCGTGCTAAATGGAATATGCCCGCGCGACCCTTGTGGACCCTTCCCGTATTTTAGTTTGATCACTGACCTCAATTCTAGATTAAGAGGTGAGGTCAATCTCTTCCCCTTGTTTTCTGAGGCAGTGTTGACGAACACTCGTCGAAAAGGGACTCTCGTCGATTCTATCTTCTTGTTTTGTGTGATATAGAGCTGAAATAAACGCAGTATGGATTACCTTCGTAACACGGTATGTACACTTTGTTATTGGTATGCCATTTTTATTCTGACAGACTGCACGTCACTGTCGAGCTATAACAGTTCGTGGGAGGTATACGTACAACCCCGGTCCAACCTTCTTTGCCGAGTGTCGCGTCAGTATCGAGTTGCAATCGTAAAAGAACGGTCCCGAAGCGCTTACAAACAGCGCGAATACAAGACTTCCATCAAGCGCGCGCGTCCGCTCCGAGTGTAAACAGGTATTTACGTGGCTCTTGCTGACACTCGTAGTTCAAATGTATCTTTTTTAACGTCGGCTCGCTCCTGCATCTCCGAGGCCGCGAAAAACGCCATCTACGTCGCTTTGCAAACGACTGACACGGGCCGGCCCTTCTGCCAACAATGACGGGGTGGTTGACTTCTGGAGTCTTCACCGGAAGACTCGCTGCACTTTCCAACAGGCATACCGGCGTATGGGACTAGTCCCATGCTGTCGCTGTAGCGCAACATATCTCATTGAATTTCGCTCAGCTGCGATGCGGCGATGAGAGGCGCCGATTCAGGAAATACGTCGGTGACATCAGCGCAGTAAAACCTACCGGCGCACCCCAACTCGTTGCCGCTAACACTCCCATTCTCCTACTGCCGAGAGAACTTCCGGTTCCGGAAACGGCCTACGTCACGGCTTCTTTTGCGGTCAGTTGGAGAGAATGAAAAAGTCGATAGTTCAATAATGTTTTGTGTAGAAGTTAATAAACCGAGACGAAAACGGATGCCTGTTCGGCATTCAGTGAACATTGACGGTTTAATGTAAAAGTTATCTGGAAAAAGTAAAAAGGTCATTTCATGGTCCCTTTAATGCATCGGATGTTGCAAGATCAGCCGACCTCGCCGCAGACAAAATTGTCTGTGCATGACTGATTATTCCCTTTAGATGTGCGCGATTAGTCAGTTGAACTGCGCAAAACAACAGCCCCAAAATACTCGGCCGAGTTTTTACAGCGCATTTTTTAGGCGCCCGTTTCCGGGGTGAGCGGCGTCGCCGTCGGCATAACCGCGTGACGTCACGTGTGACATCACGAGGGCAACGAATGACGTCACGAGGGTCACCAGTGACGTCATGAGGAGAAAGATTAAGGTCACGAGCGTCACGAGTGAAGTCATCCTCGTGATGTCACACGGGCATATCCTCCCCTACTCCCCCTTAAGAGCTGCGCTCTAATTCGGCCTCACAGAGAATTGTAAACGTCTTTAATTTTTTTTTACGCTGTATGGTTTACGCTGTTCAAATGATTTTAATGGTGTGGTCCAGTGCCATCTTTTTCAACATTTTACGGTCGTCGACAGTAAAATTTACGGTCAAATACCAGGCAGCTCATGCTGCCGAAATCGCACTTTAAAAATAACGGCGCGCTGTAAATCTGGATTACCGTGAATTAAAATGGCGACCGCAGATTTCTACGGTCAGCGTTTTAATTTATCGTAAATCAGATTTACTGTGTACCGTTATGTTTACGCTGCCTGGTACTTGACCGTAAATTTTACGGTCCATTTTTTTACAGCGTATGTTTAACCAATTAGGCCATCAAATTATTTTCTTACGTCCAAAACAGTTCAGTGCTTGAGCCAGGGAAAGCAGACGAGCTATAGACCATATGCAAAAAGAAGCGGCATTTAGTGTATCATGATGAATTATTAAATTTCCTGCATATTGGAGGGTTCCCGTACGATAGTTTCGCCCGAGAGACAATGAACTTAGTAAAGTGAGAGTCGTAGAACTAAAATATGATCACCTGCTCCAAGTTCAGTACAAAGCCTTCGCAGAACGTCTTCAATAAATGCCGTTCACTGACCTTGAGTGACGAGTCTTGCCACCTCGTTGCTGACAATTCCTTTCCAGAATTTCGCGGCCGTCTTTCTTTTCTTCCTTGAACCGAAACTGAACAGCTTTCCCTTGAGTGCACAAACAAATTATCCGAATATCATACCGAATATTATAGTTAAATGCAGATGCGCCTCTTCCACAACTATACTCCGTTTTACCTTATGTTGTACCGCAGCGAAGGCTAGAAGCGCGAGCTCATAGCGTTGACAGTTTCCCTTAATGCACGAGAGCTTGTGCCGCCGAGATCTGCCCGAGAGTAAGGAGCTCGCGCTTGTAGCCTTTTCTTGCGGTACATCATAAGGTAAAACAGAGTATAAAGATGTAAAAAAAAAAAAAAAAAAGGCGGCTCTTACTGGCATGATGATGATAGCTGGCAAGAATTTTGCATATGGCCTGTATTGGTCCTGAACAAATGGGGGAGGTTCTAATACCCTTGTTACACGGGGGCGCTGACCGCAGTTATGCTAAGACACAGGCACAATACTTGCGGACAACATTCTGCGGCTATGTAGTCAAAGCTATGGGCGAACGTGCGCTCGAGCATCTTGAGCACCCATCGAAGCAGTGCACGCGCGCTCTTCACTTCTTTTGAAATAGCTGTCCGACAGTATAGTGTGGTAACTGTGGTGCCACGAAACAGCAGTTAAAGCTGATTTAACCGCGGTTAAGGGCGCCCGTATAACCGGGGTATAAGTTGACGAGCTAGGTTTGCTCAAAATGGTTAAGGGGTTAAATCACGTCTGAATATGAATCTGAATAAGACATCCGGCCTCTATCCCTTTCTGTTCGATAAAATACATTTTGAAAGAACGAATCATGACTTTGCGTCGAGGTTGAGGACCCCGAGGCTGTTCAGAGGCTTTGAATTTGGCTATTTTAGGCAGTGTTGAGTAGGGGCGCTTTAACGGTTCTCACTTTGACTGCTGAAAGCTATCTTTGAGGGGTAACGCAATCATTATCAGCAGCCGAAGACTGCTGATAATGATTGCGTGCGCGTGTGCGCGTGCCCGTGCGTTCCACTCCGCCATTCGTCCGGGCATTCAGCGACCGATATAACCGACCTGCCAGATGCTGCAGGCCGAGGAGAACCTGGCTGCCCGCATGCACGACAACTTGCAGCACATCGAGGTGGGGCACTCCCAGAACCAAGAAAGGATCAAGGAGCAGGAGTGGGAGGTGGCGCTGCTCAAGCAGGAGAGGGACGACCTCTCTGTCTTGTTGGCGACTGGCAACAACGCCAACAAGAAGTCCCAGCAGACTCGTATCTTGGAGCAACGGCGCAAGCGCATCAAGGAGCTGGATGAACGCGTTGCGAAGCTGCGAAAGAAAGTCCAGGAGCAGGCCACGATGATCGGGCCGAAGGAAGAAGAACGAGATGTTAGGAAACTCAAGGAAGAAATCCTGGAGATGAAGAAGACGCGCGTGCGGCTAATGCGCCAGCTCAAGAAAGAGTCGGAGCAGCACCGCCGGGCCCAAAGGGAGCACGACCGCGAGGTGAGCACCCTGCGGCTGCGTGAGCATCAGCGGGTGGCACAGGCGGCGCGGCAAGAGCGCCAGAGTGGCCTCAAGATCAGTGCGCTGCAACGGAGCATGGAGGACGCGCTGGTGGACAAGTCGCGACTGGAGGTGGCACTGCAGAGGCAGCAGATCGACGCCGGCAAGACGGACCCCCTGGGGGAAATGGCCCCTCGAATCCAGGGCACAGTTGAGCAGGAGCTCTCTTTTTCAGTGCGCAAACGATCGGAGCAGTTGCGGACTGAACCGCCAGGCGCGCAACGCCAACACAACACCACTCCTGAAGGTGCAGTCGAAGCTCCTGGAGGCTGTGGCCAAGCTCCGGGAGGTTCAAGAACACAAGGAACGGGAGATCAAGGGACTAGAGTTGCAGCTGCTGGTCACCAAAAAGGAGCACCGAGATCGAATGCTGTGCCTGCTGAAGCACTTCACGAGTACGTCCTGGGTAAGACCCCCACCCGGGAGGCCTCCCTCGTTGAGAGGCTCAAGTTGCAGGAAAAAGAGATCTCTCGGCTAAAAGCCGTCCATAAAGACCTTGAAAAAAAAAAAAAACCAAAAAAAAAAACCAAGGAAGCTGAGCAACTTAAGAATGAGCTTAAGCATGCCAGAAGACCTGTGCTGGGGGTGGACTACTCCGTCAAGACAGATAATCCTGCCAAGCCCAAGAATGTCGTGCCAGTAGCCACGAGCGACCTCCTCTTTGGCGACAGTCTCGATGTCTCGGCAACGGCGAGGACGACCGAGACTGTTCCGGGAGTCAGACACTCCATCAGACGAGCCACTCGTCCGTTTTTTTATCGTTCCCCATCTCAGGGTTTACAAGATGTCTACTAGAGGAACTCTCATTAAAGAGATGAGTCGAAACTTATAAAATACCTTTCTTGTTCAGATACAAGTTAAAAATAATGAACTATATCTGCTAATGACAATCGCACGCCCGTTTTCAAACGGATGGTCTAACCCCAGTCGAACGCCGAAAGTTCGACCTAAAAATCCAATTCGACCAAAGTTTGCGAAGTGGCCATTAGGATTTTCGAAGTTTTTTCGAACCAAATATATAGGTCGAACACCCCCCCCCCCCCCCCCCCCCCCCCCCCTTTTTCGGGATTCGACCCTTGAAACTTTTAACCAGATTCGGCCGGTTCGACTTACTTTGTGGACAGTGTGGCCCGACCTTGCCTAGGTTTGGAGAATAATTTTTTTTATGCAAAGGATTTTTTAGTTTTATGAACAGTTGCAATTAAAATACACTAATTGCAATCACTGAAGAAGTTATTAACTTAATTTTTTTTGTACTGTATTAACCGAAATAGCCAATCAGTGCTGCCCTTAATTCATCCCTTAGCCATCAGCCTTTGTGACTAATGAGATTCCTCCGATCACACTCCAAGTGGAAGGGATTAGAAAGCTTTTAAATGAACTTGATGTAAGCAAGGCAACAGGCCCCGACAACATTTCTCCTTGTATTCTGAGGTCATGCTCTGGTGTAGTCTGCCTGTATTTTTATGTTCTTTTTGAAAAATCTTTAGATACATCATCATTGCCGTCAGATTGGAAGCTTGGTCGGGTGGTCCCGATACACAAGGGTGGCCCAAGGAACGTGGTCACAAATTACCGTCCGATTTCACTAACTAGCATCGCTTGTAAGGTAAGTGAGCACGTTTTATATACAGGCATAATCCATCGTGTAAATGCCTCGGGAATACTACATTCCTCCCAGCACGGCTTTCGTCAAGGCTACTCGTGTGTGACACAGCTAACAGAGTTTGTACATGAATTGGCAGGTGCTCTTGATGGCCGTGATAGCGTTGACTGCATTTTTCTTGATTTCAGCAAGGCGTTTGATGTTGTCTCCCATGACTTGTTAATTGCGAAACTTCACGGTTATAAAATTGATAAGAAAGTGGTATATTGGATACGCGAATATTTGTCTCTCCGTAAACAATATGTTGTGCTAAATGGTTGCCAGTCCGAATTTGCTGACGTGACATCAGGAGTCCCGCAAGGGTCCGTTTTTGGGCCGCTGTTGTTTATGCTGTACTTGAATGATATCGTGGGTGTTGTGTCATCACCAATGCGTCTCTTTGCAGACGATTGTGTTGTTTATCGAAAAATACGAGCGAGTGATGACGTCGACATTCTACAGGCAGACATAAATGCAATTACCGATTGGTGCAAACTGTGGGAAATGAATATTAATTTTAAGAAAACTGTCCACATCCCATTTACGAGACTGCGTGTTCCGTCCCTCAGTACTTATACCATTAATGACGAGCAACTCACTGTTGCCTACGAATACAAATATCTTGGTGTATTCCTAACCTCGACCCTAAGTTGGAATAAGCACATTGACTATACTGTCTCTAAAGCCTCGAGAATGCTTGGCTTTCTCGCTCGTAATTTTAAGCCTGTACCACGTTCCTTGAAAGAAAGACTTTATTTTTCGCATGTCCGCTCAATTATAGAATATGCCTGCACTATATGGGATCCTCACACTGCTGTCCAGATAATCAAACTTGAAAAAGTACAAAACCGGGCTGCCCGTTTTGTTTTAAACAATTACGACAGGCGACTTAGTATGACTCGTGCGAAACAGAGCCTAGGATGGAAGGAGTTAAGCTTTAGAAGGAAGAACCTTCGACTGAAATTTTTTAATAACATATTTCACTGTAGGACTGGGATAGATAGAAATGCCTACCTTCACCCGCCAGATTACATATCGCAACGAAAGGATCATGTGTATAAGGTCAAGGAATTCCGCTGTAAAAGTGACGTCAATATGAACTCTTTTTTTCCTAAAACAATACGGGATTGGAACGGTTTGCCAGCCTCGGTGGTCAACATTGTTCCTAACGATATGTTTTATTCAACACTAACATCGTAGTGTCTAGTTAGTAGTTGAGTAACGTTCGTAGTGTTTAGTAGACCGCATTTTTATTTTTTATGTAGCCTGCACTTTGTTTTGATACTGAAAGATTTATGGCTTGTGAATATTGCTCTTTTAACTTTTGTATAACTATTCGTGTTCTTCATTTCCAACTTCTCCCCCCCCCCCCCCCCCTTTACTGTAATGCCCCATGGCGCTGTAGGCATCTGAATAAATAAATAAATAAATAAATCAGTGCTGCCCTTAATTCATCCCTTAGCCATCAGCACCCAATCCAAAACCAACTGGCCAGCCTGTCGCGCATGCGCATAACAGTCGAACCTGAGCCGAACCTGTGTCGAACTTTTCACAAGAAGGTCGAAAAAGTCGAACCTGATCGAACTCGACCCTCGACCGGTTCGCGACACCCCTAGTGGCAATAGGGAGTTTTTCAACAGCGCACTCTAAAGCTTTGCGTACGCAAAGAATAGCTTGGTCGCCACTGCGCATGCGCCGAACGCTAACCACGTTTTGCGCTTTGCGTGCACTCTTTTAGCGTACGATATTTTTCGAAAATTTCGTGCGTACGCAAAGAGTCTGGGGTGCGCATTTTCGGCACCGATTTGTAGTCCAGGGGGCGCTGCCAATGACAACAAGGACGTCCAAATTTTATTTTGTGTTCTTCGACGTAAACACGTTTTATTTTAGATGCCGCCGACTGCATTTTGAAACGTCGGTCGGTCGGCGAGTGTTTGCGCGTGGTCGGGTGCTCGGCGGCTCGGTGTACTCGTTGGTGTGTGTCACGGTGGTGTGTGTCGACGTGCCGCCTGTGCTCGTCGCGTATCACTTGCCGACGTCCAGAAACAGGGTTTTCCAATTTCGTTCGCCCGGTGCCGTCGGTTACTCCTGTTGTAAAAGAAGAGTCGTAGTGACTACAGTACCGTCCGACGGCCCTTTTGCAGAGCGTTCAAGTGCCGTCCGACGGTACTCCTCCGACGGTACTCCGCGTTGAGTGCTGTTCGAAAGTCTCGTATAAAACGAATTGTCCAAACGAGGTTTTCGAAAATACGCTGTGCAAAAGAGCTGTACAGCGTTATTGGAACGACATGAATGTTGCTGTAAATAACATGCAATAAAGAAAAAAAAAAAAAAAAACGTTGTAGCGTAGCTTAGCGATTCTGTCTCCGGCTGCCGATAGCGACGGTCGCAGAATGACTAGCTCCTCCGGAGCGGCGATAACGGCCCTTGACGGCCGCAGTAGTATGTCTTTTGCCACCGTACTTTCTACGGAAGAATACAGGATCGTACTGCCACCAGTACCTAGCGCTACAACCTGCGTCAACACTGTCCTGCTGCATTGCGACTTCAAGGGGCGTCCATACCGGATTGAAGACTTCCGCCAGGAACTGAAGCGCACCGTTGTTTTGTCTGATATCGTCTCGTTGGGCGCATATCAGATGAATCACGTGTGGCTGGCTACCCTTCGGACGCAAGAGGCCAGGGGGCGCCTCGTTAACTTCGGGGAGCTGACCATCAACAACCTACGGTGCGTCGTCATCGACCCCTGCTCCACCGAGGTGCGGCTTCGGGTTCACTGGGTCCCCTACCACGTCCCCGACGAAGCGGTGAGCAAGCTCTTCGAGCCATATGGGAAAGTGGGCGAAGTATCTCGCGAAAAGTGGCGTGTCGAGGGATTCCAGGCCATCGAATCGACGACGCGCATTGTACGCATGACGCTAAAGAACGGTGTCACGCCGGACAGCATGCCACACCAGTTGAGGCTTCAGGGAGGCAACGTCCTCATCGTGATCCCCGTACACGCGCCCGTCTGCCTTCATTGTAAGCGCACCGGGCACATAAGATGCAACTGCCCCTCGCCAAAGTGTTGGGTGTGCTATCGTTTTGGTCACCACGGCGACAAGTGTGTCAAGACTTACGCCGGCGTCACCGGTGGAGCCGTGACGGACGACCTTTCGCCCTTGACCATGGAAACAGAGGAGGCAGAGCGGGCTGTCCAAGGACTGGGACACGTCGTTCAACCGCAGCCTGATGAGCAGCAGGGGCTCCGCGTCGGAGACGCCACGCTCCCACAAGTCATCGCGGCGAAAGACGCGGCCGGGACGGCTCACGCCGCTTCTAAGCTAAGTCCAGGTCCTTCTCCCTCTGTAGCGACGTCGTCCGTGGGTGTCGAGGTTTCATCTACGGCCTGTTCCGTGACGACCAATAACACTCCCAAAGGCAACGAGGACATGGACGAGACGACGGACTCCATCAAGTGGGGCCTCGAAGAGGCGGACCCGACGACGGGGATGACCCCCAACCCCAACCCGTGGGTAGGGGTGGGCAAGCGCGTTCGGCACAAGGCGGAACATAACGTTCCCCCAGACGACCGACGACCCCACGACAGCAAGTAAGGCGGCAACGCCTGGTATCAGGGACCCCTTTGCGGGGCTAAAGCAAATGCTACACCACGCCCTGCATGATCTGTACGCCCGACACAGCCATCAAAGTCGCAACGCTAAATGTTCGAGGACTAGGCACGCGCAGAAAACAGTACCAAGTACAGCGTCTGCTCATCAAAGAGAGACCCGATTTCTTAGCGGTGCAGGAGACTAAGATGGCTGAGGAAGAGCAGGTAGCGACTGCGCTAAAGCCTTTTTTAACATCTTACGAAGTTTGTGTCACGCCGGCCGTCGGCGCTTCGGGGGGTTGGTTTTTGTTTTTGAGTAAGTCCCTACCCTTGTCGGAGTTGGCAGTCACCACCGACCAAGTGGGGCGCTTTATTTTGTGCGATTTCTTATTTTCAACAGTCCAATGGCGGTTTATTTGTATATATGCACCCAGTACGGTGAAAGACCGGGCTGCCTTTTTTTACGGCTTGCGCCGTTTTGTAGAATGTGATAGAATAGTCGTTTTGTGTGGGGATTTTAAATGTGTTATCCGAACAGCGGACAGATTGCCGTCTCGGCAACGCACAGATAGAAGTGTTACAGTACTAAGTGATTTGATCGATGATTTTGATTTGGTGGACGCCGGAACCGTGAGAAACGAAACGTCAGAGATTCGTTTCACACATTTCCAGGCGTCCTCACACGCGCGATTAGATAGTGTACGTGTCGGCTTCTGTTGCAGCCGTGTTAAGAAAGTACCGCGTCATGCCTGTTTATTTTTCGGGTCACTGTTTTATTTTGACTACTATAGGAGAAAATGCGTCGCCGAAGCCATTCAACTGGAGGCTCTGGAAGTTTAATGCAAAACTACTCAACGACGAAGCCTTTGTAATGGCGGCAGATAAAGCTTGTGAGAGTTCTTTTGAAGGAGCGAGGGGGGACATTTCTGGAGTCGTGGGAGCTCTTTAAGCAAGAGATTAAAATGGTTGCGATGGAAAGGTCCTCTTTCTTAGTTTTTGAGGCTCGCCGTGCTGAGGACAGTTTAACCGCCGATTTAGCGGCTTTGTCGAGAGCCGAGTGTGAGAATCCTTGTACTGGACTTAAAGATTTAGAGGGAGTAAAAGAACGTCTGGACGAGTTGCATTGCGAGCGGTTCCGGGGAGCCGTAGTGCGAGCTCGCTCGGAGATGTTCGTACTAGGCGAGCAACCGACTAGACGCGCCTTGGCCGAGGAGAAGAGGTACGCGCTCCGCAACGAAATAAGGGAAATAGAATGTCGGGGGGCGAGCAGCACGAGCCCGGCTGTAATCCAGAAGGCCTTCGTGGAACATTACCGGCAGCTATTTGATAGCCATACCAAAGGGAGGAAAGACCCCGCGTGCGGGAGCCTACTAGAGTATCTTCCCCAGTTAGACGCAGACGAGCGGGAGAGGCTCGAAGAACCCATTTCTATAGAGGAGGTGCATTGGGCCATCGACAGTTTGCCCAGCGCAAAAACGCCGGGGCCAGATGGTATAGGGGCGGAGTTCTACATAAAGTTCAAAAACTCAGTAGGCCTTGTTTTGTTACGAGTGTTTTCCCAAGCGTACGAACGTAAAACGCTGCCGCATTCTTTCGGGCGAGCGCACACCGTACTTATCCCAAAAAGCGACGACGACGATAAACTACGTAAAGTAACAGGTTATCGGCCGATAACGTTGTGCAACGTCGACTACAAAATCTTCGCGAAAATCTTAGCGCGTCGGTTTTAAGGCGTAGCCCGCCAACTTATCGGGGAGCATCAGACCTGCGGGATCCAGGGCCGCTCAATCACAACAAACATTCACGTAGCTCGTATTGTTTTGGAGACGTGTGATAACGGCAACGGGGGCCAGGCCGCCATGCTTCAAATCGACTTCGATAAAGCATTTGATCGCGTTAAACATGATGTACTCTTTGATGTTTTAGAGCGAGCTAATGTTGGCTCAGTTATTTTGGAGGGGGCCAGAATGGGGGGGGGGGGGGGGGGGGGGAGGGGGAGGCGTATAAAGATTGCACAACCCGGCTCATCGTTAACAAGGAGTTAACCGATGTGATAAACGTTCGTTCCTCTGTCAGACAATGATGTCCCTTGTCACCTTTATTTTTCAATTTATACCTGGAGCTATTTTGTCCGAGAGTTTTAAACGGTGAACAGTGTCGCGGTTTCCGGCTGGGAAACTTGGAAGTGAAAGTCATGAGCTACGCCGACGACGTAGCTGTCTTTTGTAGCGACAAGAGGAGCGTGAGTGCTGCGGTGACTTTGGCCAATAGGTTTTGTGAGGCTACAGGGGCTGCCGTAAATTGGTCAAAGTGTCGAGGCTTTTGGCATGGCGTGGGCCACGACGCCTTCGGTGTACGAAGGTGTGGGGTGGGACAGCGTACCGTGCACATACCTTGGCGTGCCTCTCAACGGTTACCGGGAGAACAAACAATATTGGTCGGGCGTCGCCACCGGCCTCGACAGGCGCGCTTCTTGCTGGAAGAGGCGTGATCTGTCGATTTTTGCTAAAGCGACGGTCTGCAACGTGTTTCTGATTTCTAAAGTGTCGTATGTCCTGCAGGCCATTCATTGTGCGCGCGTAAATATACTGAAGTTGCATCGAGTTTTCGCGAAGTTATTCTGGAACTCGTGTTGGGAAACAATGAGACGTGCCAATTTGTTTCACCGTCTACGTGATGGTGGGTTGGGGCTGTCGCATTTGTTTGTAAGGCAACTTGTGTCCCGTTTAGTCTTTTTGCTCGATCACGAACACCCATTCATACGTACATTTATCCAAGTAAAACTGGCGCCCCATCTTCCCTTCTTCCTTCTATCTTCGTGTGACGGCGAGCCAATGAGACTGGTTGGCTTCCAGAAAGAAGTTGTCGACGCAGTCCTTTTTTTGAATGCGCGTTTTTCTTTAGATTACCTCTCTGTTGTAAGCAAGAAAACACTCAAGCGTGACTTGCTGATTAGTTTATTTCCCACCCCAATGTACCGTGCTGTTGTGTGTAATGGCGCCCAAGACGTTTTGAAGCGAGTGAAGCGCATGTGCATACCCCCTGCGGCGAAAACTTTCTTTTTTAAATTGCACAGCAACACTTTACCCGTGAAGGCGTGGCTAAGAGAAAAGGGGTTAGAAATTCCCTGGTCTGTTGACTGTCCTTTATGCAAAGAACCGGAGACCATTGAGCATGTATTTATTGTCTGTTGGGACGCTTTATTTTTTTTGGGATGTCCTCCAACGCATGCTAAAGAAACAGTTTTCCATTAGCCCATTGGGCATACGTTTTCTGGACGCGAGGAACGATGACAACGTACCGCATGACATGTTTTTTCTTCTGGGACTTTTCAGCATATGGCAATCGCGTATGGCAGTGAGACATACGGACCCAACTGCGAAGGAAGTTCGGTTTTATTTTTTCAACCTCGTGAAGCGTGTTGAGAGCGTTTTTTCGGATTGCGAGCCCAATCCCGAGTGGCTGAGCGTGTGTGGCCCTCTTCTCGAGATGCGAGAATTTTAATGTGCGCTGCCAAATGTGCTGCAGTACATTTTTATTTGGAATTTGTACCAGCTGCTTTCTTGCAATAAAGAAAAAAAAATGTAGCGTAGCTTAGCGGTTACGATGTCAGCCTTATGCGCAATCGGTCGTAAGTTCGATCCGCAGTGGAGGCTTACTTTTCTTTTTTTTTTTTTCGAACATTTTGTTTTGTTGGGGCATTTGGCGATATTTACGACATTTCTTTTCTACGATTTTTTCTTTCTTTATTTGTTTTCCTTCGGGCAGAGCCGAAAAGAAAGACCAGTGCGAAAGGCTAAAAAAAAAAAAAAAAAAAAAGCCTGACGCGGCACTGGTTTCTTACAGTCCACACATAAAAAATAACATGGAAATGCATTACATCTAACAGAGCAGCAGGATACAAACTTTTGGAGAACTGAGGCACACACACATGACACAAATGCAACAATAAAAGCCATGTATATAAGGATAAAAAATCCGTACTGAATGCAAAAAACGATAATACATACTATAATCAACATGAAGGAAAAAACAAGTCATTAAGGAACACACAAAGAACAAACATCAATATCGCTCACTTTACGGAAACTGAACAGTATATACCCACTGAAAAAAAAAGTTGTCGACGACAGTGCTAAAAGCGCGAGCTAGTTGCTTCGAATCACGCGGCACGAGCGCTCTTGCAGCGGGTGCAGTCATGCCTGTCAAGGCTACTCGCTCGCCACTTGCACGGCGTTGCGGCTATTCTATGCAAGGGTGATAATCCGTCGCATTACACACAAGTACAGCTCCAGAAAAATGCGTACGAAATTACTGCGGCTGGGTTCTGTCGCTTCCGGTACACGTAATCTTCATTTGCAACAGGAGTGACGGACGGCACCGGGCGAAGTTTTAAAGGGATACTTCAACGAAATTTGAAATATTCCCGTCGTGTTCAAAAAATAGGTTGAATATGATCCACAATATCCGTAAATGACAATCGCACGTTTGTATTTTGATCCTGGTGGCTGTATTTTTCGTTATAAACGGCCCACTCTGGCAAGCGCTCGGAGAAGGCCCAGCTTAGAGCACGTGACATCCAACGCAATCGTGAGTTTGTTAGAGGAGGTCGTGGTTTGATGTTCGTGGGGACGCGACGAGTACAGGCGGCAACGTCGACAACACGCACCAGCGCGGACACCGCCGAGCCGCCGAGCACCCAGCCACACATACGCCGAGCGAGCAATACTTCAAAATGCAGTCAGCGGCATCCAAAGAAAACGTGTTGTTGACGTCAAAATAACTAAGACTTCAAAATAAAAGCTGATATTTTGACGTCCGTGACGTCATTGGTCACGCCTTTTGGATACCAAATCTCTGCCGAAAATACACAGCCAATAGTCTGCGGTCCTCCAAGGTAGATTCGTAATGAGAAAGAAGTTGGCTAAAGCCAAGACGAGCAGAGTTTAAAAAATGGCGGCTCTCAGGACCATGGTTGCGGCCGCTCTGGCGGCGTCGTGAGCG